AGAGGGTTGAGAAGAATTTATAACCAGAATTTGGTGAAACATTTCCATATTGGGAGAGGAACAACAATTGCTAGCCACTTGTTATTTGCTGATGATACTCTGATTTTTCTAAGAGGTAATAAATCCTCTGTTGTGAATGTTTTGCAATTTATTGAGTTGTATGAATCATGCTCTGGTCAGAAGGTTAACAAAATGAAAAGTGCTATCTATTGCTCTAAGCTGATCTCTTTATCCAGAAGAAATAGGCTGGCTTCTGTGATGGGGATTCCTTTTAAGGATTGTCCTTTTACCTATTTGGGCTGTCCTATTATCAGAGGAAGAGTTAAGAAATGCTACTTTGAAGAGGTGGTGAACAGCTTTAGAAGAAGACTTGAGGGTTGGTATGCCAAACTTCTATCTGGAATGGGAAGAGTGGTATTGGTACAGTCAGTACTCAGCTCAATCCCCATTCATATATTGGCTTGCTTGAATATTCCAAAAGGTATTTTAAGTAAGCTGAATTCTCTTATTGCTGATTTTATTTGGTCTAATCAAATTGGTTCCAGGAGGAGACATTGGGTGTCACTTAATGATATTTCTAAGCCCAGAATAGAAGGTGGTTTGGGGATTAGAAGTTTTGATGAAGTTCAAATGGCATTCAGAATCAAACAGGTGTGGGGTATTTTAAAGGGTTCTTCTTTGTGGGCCAAAGTCTTTAAAGAGAAGTTTTTTCAGGGGAAGCATATGCTAAGATGTAGTAGCAGTGGTGCAGGTTTATCCTTTAATGTATTGAGGCCTTGGTTCAATTTTACAGTACAGAATTCCTTGAAAATTGTTAGAAATGGTCATAACACTGATTTTTGGTGTGATTCATGGATGGAAACTGGCCCCTTGATTCTTAGAATGGAGAATCTTCCATTGATCTTTCCCAAGTTAAATGAATTATGGAATGGTGTAACATGGCAGCTTAATGAGGTTGCTGAATGGCTTAATCCTCAGTTATGTTCTGAAATTGAAAGTGTGGTTTTTGTGAGATCTGAGGAATCTGATAATCTTATTTGGAAACATACTACTTCAGGTGAATTTACTGTAAAATCTGCTTGGAATCAGATTAGGAAATTGGGGAACCACAATGCTATTGCTAAAGGCATATGGAAACAGAAAATTTTTCCTAGTGCTCAAATTTGCACTTGGAAAATTTTCAGAAAAGCATTGACCTCTGATGATAGAATTCAAGATGTAGGAGTGGCAATGGCTAGTAAATGTGTCATGTGTGGTGTGGCTGGGGAAAGTGCAGCTCATGTATTTATTGATTGCTCTTTAGCTCAAGCTGTCTGGAGTAAAATTGCTGCAATTATGGAATTTGATGTTTTTTCAGGAGAGGCTCCTTTATGCAGATTCTTGAGATTGTTGAGAAGGTTTAAAGCTGCTTCTCTCAGTCATAATCTAATAAGAGGGGTAACTATGTTAATTTTTTTGGGCTTTGTGGAAGGAGAGATGTAGGAGGAAATATGAGGGAGTATTTTTAAATGCCAATGCTATCTTCCAGCAAATAGTGAGTTCTTTAAGATGACAGGCTTTTCTTATCAGACCTAGATCAAATGATGATGGTAAGGGAAAGGAGTTGTTGAGAGATTTGAGTATTAAAAGTCCTTTTTCCTTAATCACTAAGGTTAAATGGATTAAATGGGAACTTCCTCCTGCAAATGTGCTAAAGCTTAATGTTGATGATGCTTCTAAGGGTAAGACTGGATTGTCAGGTGGTGGGATGGTATTGAGAGATCATGAAGGCAAAGTAATTGTTGCAGCTTCCTGTTTTTATGGTATTGGTTCCAATATGTTAGTTGAATGTATGGCATTATTTGATGGTTTACTTCTGATTATGCAATATAGTCTGACAACATCTCAGATTATGGTGGAAACTGATTCTTATACTTTATTTCAAATGGTGAGAGGATTAGCTGCTGTTCCATGGAAGATGCAATATCTGTTAGAAAGGATTAAGCTGTTGTTTAAATTTCTGAATTTGCAAATTAAGCACATTTATAGGGAAGCTAATGGTCTGGTTGACTTCTTAGCTTCCTTTGCTGTTAAATCAGAACAGAGCACTGAATTTACTACAAATAATATTTTGCCATCTATTGGGAGGCTTATAATGCAACAAGATTTATATGGATTTCCCTCTGCCAGATTGAAGAGATTGATATGTGAACAAAGAGAAGGTATTGGTTAACCTGTTGTGTATACAGTATGAAATGCCTAGAAGCTGGAAAGTTGCAGTAACTCTAGGAAACATTTTAAAAGGGATTCTATTTTGGTTCTTCTGCTGGTTGGATCTGTGTTGATTCTAGCAGTCATCTGAGATGATTTATTATAATCAAGAGCAGTTCTTCAGTTTCTGTTGGTTGCTCCTTTTCCAATCTGCCTGGACTATCTTCTGGACTTCTTTTGTGAGTTTTTGAGTGTGGATGATCAGGTTTTCTGATGTCATCCTGTTCCCTTTTGCGTTTCATCTTGAAATGTTGAAGGATCCTGTTTCAGTACAGTTTTATAGGTGATATTTGATGTTTGGTCTCCTCTGTATCTGGCCATTTCAGAAAAGCTAGTTATTAATGAATAGTGCATGTATGAGAGCTGTATCTGGACTAGCTCTGGTAGAAGGGTCTGGACAGACTTATTTGACTGCTTGGCATCCTGAACAGTGCTGCAGATTATCTGAGGGGATGATCCTTATTATTTTTGGCAGACTGTTGGGCTTCTTCTTAGGCTAGTCTGTGTTGGTTCTCTCCCTGGGCTGCATTTGCTGCTGATTCTTCTGTGGTTTTAAGGCATTTTCTCAGGAATGTTTCAGCTGGATGGAAAGAAGACATTTACAAAGGGATTATTTTTTGATTTACCATTTTACCCTTGTATTGTTTTAGCTGTTATATGTTCATAAGTCACTGTTTTAGCTTAAAATAGTGACTTATTTGTTTCTTGTAATTTCTGCTTTTATTCAATAAAATTTTCTCTTGTTTTTTTTAAAAAAAAAAAAAAAAAAGGGTTTAGGGTTTAGGGTTTGAGGGGTTGAGGGTTGAGGGTTTTAGGGTTGAGGGTTTTAGGGTTTTAGGGTTTGGGTTTAGGGTTTGGGGTTTAGGGTTTAGGGTTTAGGGTTTTAGGGTTTAATCCTCAACTCTGTTCTGAGATTGAAAGTGTGACTTTTGTAAGATCTCAGCACCCTGATAGACTTATATGGAGGAATACGACTTCAGGCTCTTTTACTGTTAAGTCTGCATGGGAACATATAAGAATAAAGGGAACTCAGTCTGCTATAGCAAAAGGAATTTGGAATCAAAAAACTTTTCCTAGTGCTCAACTATGTGCATGGAAAATTTTTAGAAAAGCTTTAACCACTGATGATAGAGTTCAAAGTGTGGGGGTTGCAATGGCTAGTAAATGTATATTGTGTGGATTAGAGGGTGAAAGCTCTACTCATATTTTCATTGACTGTTCTATGGCTTAAACTGTATGGAGGAAAACTGCAGTGATGATGGGGTTTGATGTTCTGCTTGGAGAATCTCCTTTATGCAGATTTCTAAGACTGCTGAGAAGGTTTAAAACTCCTTCTCTTAGTCATATTTTAATAAGGGGAGTTACTATGCTAATATTTTGGGCTCTGTGGAAGGAGAGATGCAGGAGGAAGTTTGAGGGATTGTTCTTAAATGGCCATGCAATTTTCTTACAAGTTTTGAGTGCATTGAAATGTCAGGCTTTCATTATAAAGCCTGGATCAGCTGATGACATTAAGGGTAAGGAGTTATTAAGAGAGCTAAAAATTCAGAATCCTTTTTCTTTAATCATTAAGGTGAAATGGATCAAGTGGAATTTTCCTCCTCCAAATATACTGAAGCTTAATGTTGATGGTTCCTCTAAAGGAAAAACTGGACTGTCAGGTGGAGGGGTAGTGGTGAGAAATGATGAAGGGGAAATTATATTTGCTGCTGCCTGCTACTATGGGATGGGCTCAAATATGGTTGCTGAATGCAAGGCTCTGCTTGATGGATTATTACTGATTCTGCAGCATGGGTTGTCATCAAATCAGATTGTGGTGGAATTAGATTCTCAGACATTAGTTAAAATGGTGTTGGGTTTAGCTGCTATTCCATGGAGGTTGCAATATCAGTTAGAGAGGATTAATGTGTTGTTTGGAATGTTGAATTTGCATATTACACACATTTATAGGGAAGCAAATGGGCTTGCTGATTTTTTAGCTTCCTTTGCTGTTAAAAATGAAAGAAGCACTGTTTTTTCTGATGGTACCCTTCTGCCTCTTGCTGGGAAGGTTCTTATGCAACATGATCAGAATGGATTGCCTACTGCCAGATTAATGAAAATGATTTGTGGTCAAAGGCAAGGCATTGGTTAATATTTCTTCCTATGGGATCAGCTGATGAGATGGGGTTGTAGAAGAAAGTTGACAAACAGATTCTGAATATCCATCAGAATTTGAAAATCCATTTTATTTCAATCTAATGAAATTACATAATGCAGAAAATCTGGAGGTCAGTGGATCTTTTCTCACTTTGCTTCTTTGGATTGTTGGCCTTGCCTTTCTGTTTCCAACAAACGTTTGAGATGTTCTATCAGCAGTATAATCAGAACTTCCATTTCTGGAGTTTCCTGACTATCCCTTCTTCCTCTTGGACTATCTTCTGAATTTCTCTTGTTGACTTTGGAGGGTGGTTGATCAGTCTTCCTCCTATCATTCTGCTCTCTTTTGTGCTTCATTTTGGATTGATAGGAGGAATGTATTTCCTTCTCTTTTATAGCAGAAGTATTGATGATAGAGCTTCCCTACATTGCATCTGGTATTCAGAGGGGATGTTTCTGAGTTATCAAGATCTGTGCATGTATCTGAACTGGTCTGGGCAGACTGTTTGGATTCTTTGCATAGTTATGGAATGAAATTGATTGCTCTCAGTTGAGGATTGGTTTTGAGGAGTTTCAGTAGTTGGATAAAATTTGGTGCTGTGATTAGTTGGATGAAGGAAGGTGGGCAGACGGTTGGAATTCTCCAGCTTAGTCCTATATCTGCATTTTTTCCTGCTCAAAGCTTGGAATGGATTCTTGCAGCTCCTAATGCTGGTCTGGAAGAGGATGCTTATCAGGAAAAGAAGACTGTATATAGGGACTATGTTGCAAAATTACTTTTTTATCGTTATATAGTTTTCCTTTGTAATTTGTTCTACAGTTACTGTTTTTTCTTTAAACAGTACTGCTTTGCTTCTTGTAATTTCTGCATTTTTCTGGAATAAAATTTCTCTTCTTTAAAAAAAAAAAAAAAGGGTTTTAGGGTTTAGGGTTTAGGGTTTAGGGTTTAGGGTTTTGGGTTTTCGGGTTTTCGGGTTTTCGGGTTTTGGGTTTTCAGGTTTCGGGTTTAGGGTTTCGGGTTTCGGGTTTAGGGTTTCGGGTTTCGGGTTTAGGGTTTAGGGTTTAGGGTTTAGGGTTTAGGATTTAGGGTTTAGGGTTTAGGAGAGAGAGAGACAGTTATTTCTTTTTAGAGAGAGAAGGTCTGACTTCTCTCTAGAATTTACTCTTTCTTTTTCAGATATTCTCCATTTCTATCTCAATTTTCGTTATTTCTTGTGATTTTGTTGAAATTCCTACTGTTTTGGTTGTCATAGCATGAAAACTGGCCATGAAATTCATCAGATTCCCCCAAAACCGCCTGACATTACCAAAAATTTTGCCTCCTTGTTCAAGAAAACTACATCTGTGGAAAACTTTCTGACAATTCCTGCTGCTTCAGAGATCAATTCCTTAACACTTGTTGATCCTTTGGGATGTAATAACACCGTTACTATGCCTCTGGTTTCTCCGCTGAATCGAAATACACCGACTGTTCAGATCGCCTCTGTTCTTCCTTCGGCTGTGTCATCTTCAACAAATAATCAGTGTTCGTCATCTGGATTAGGAATGCACATTCCTGCTGATTCTTCGAATGTTCGAAATGCTCAGGGAGTTAATCTGCATTCCCATTCTATTTTGATTCCTCCATCTAATTCGTCTTCTCAAGATCCTTCGATAGACCGAATTCTGCCAAAAACTCAGATCCCGATTCCTGGAAGAGATTCTCAGGTTCCTCTTGTTATATCGAATGCTCAGAATCCTTCTACTATTCAAGTTCCTTCATCTCCAATTCTATTTGGTTCCTTGAATGCTGTAAATCCTCTGAAGCCTACTAAGAGAGTTGTGTTTAATAAAGGGGAACCTGGAATGTATTGGTCCCATGTTGAAACTATGGAGCTTTCCAAAGGTTTTAATCAGACTCTTATTGGCAAATGTGCCTATGGTAGACCTTCACTGGGTGTGGTAAAGGAGTTTATTAATTCTAGATGGTTATTGAAAGGGGAATTCTCTGTAGGAGTGCTTGATCCGAGGCATGTACTGATTAGGTTTTCTCTATATGAGGATTATGTAAAAGTATGGCTAAAGGATAATACATACATTGAGGGTTACCTCTTTCGATTCTTCAAATGGTTTCCAGAATTCTATCCTGGGATTGAACCTCCTGTTGTACCAGTATGGATATCTTTGCCAGGTCTTCCAATCCATCTGTTTAATAGAGAGAGTCTGAGGGACATATTGAGTCCAGTTGGTAGAATTTTGGTGATAGACAATGCTACTCTAAATCTCTCTAGGCCTGGTGTAGCCAGGGCTTGTGTGGAAATGAATCTTCTGGCTAGTAATCCTAGGAGATTCTGGTTAGACATGGGGGGAGTTAGTGGTCGTTGGCAGAGGATAGTATATGAAAAGGAATATAAATATTGTCCTGCTTGTCTTAAGCAAGGGCATGATGAAATTTTGTGCAGAAGGAAGAAGAAAGTGGAAGGAGATGCCTCTGAGAATAAGCAAACAACTGGAAATGTTTTAAACAATGATGAGGAATGGAGGAAAAAGAAAGGAAAAGTTGTGGTTATAGATGGACTGAATGTGCATCCCAGAAAGGAATATAGACAGAAATCCATGAATCAAACTACTGCTGTGGAGAATAGTTTTGCTGTACTGAATGAGGAGGTTGTAATGGAGGAAATGGATAATGGTAGGAATCTACCTGTACATTTCCAGCAAATTTTACCTGAAAAGGTTATTGAAAATGGTTTATCTTATGTTGTTATGGTGAGTATTAATGATGCTGCAAATCCAAATAATACAACTGTTGCTTTTGATTTGGGAAATGCAAGGGAGATTGGAATGGAGGACATGGAAAATGGTAGAAATATGCTTGTATTGGGATAGACATTCTGTTCTGATAAGAGTACTGATATTGGAGCATCTGCTGCTGATGAATTGATTACTGAACCAGTTCCACAGGATATGATTAATGTTTGTAATATTGTTAATGCTGTAGTAAGGGATATTGGACTTCACAAAGGAGATTCTGTGAGAGTTGATGTTGAGACTCTTGATAATTCCCCAATGGTTTTTGATTGTGGAAATCAAGATTGTGATGGCACTGATAATGTTGACATCAGATTGGAAGATCCTATTCTGCCAGATCATGAAGGTACTAACTTGGAGATTTCCTCTTCTTCATCCCCTATCTTTTTGCCTTCTGCTAATGAGGTGGTTAATGTGGGAGATAATGAAGGAAACAAGGTTAATATAGTGGAAAATTTAGTTCCTCTTAATCAGGGTATGAATGATCTCAACCTTGTGGAAGTTCTTGGAGAGTGTAGAACTCTTTATGCTTAATCCTTGGGCTCTTCCTTTTTAGTTGAACATGGAATTACAGTTAGAAGAGGAAGCCAGAAGTCTTTAGATGATCAGAATGGTTTGGTTAAAGTAAGAGAGCCTCCAGATAAAGGTTACTACTCTGATCAGGCCAGTTCTAGAACTCAGAAGGTTGTAAATGTTGATTCTGATAATTCTGGCAGTTCCTTTGATGGAAATGAGGATGATAATGGATTTAGTTCCAGTGATGTCAATTCTTCTATGAATTTATGATTAATTTTCTATCATGGAATATGAGAGGGGCAGGTAAAGATGCTAAGAGGAGGAGATTAAAGAAACTCATTAAATTGCATGATGTTTGTCTGGTTGCAATTCAAGAGCCTAAACTATTGGTGTCCAAACTGGTTCCTTTTGCTAGAAGCATTGGTCTAGAGCATTTTCTGTTCTAATGCTTTAGCAGAAAGGAATATTTGGGTTTTATGGGATGAGAGAATCAAATTGAAGGTAATGTTTGAGCATGGCCAAGTATTGACTGTGGAAATAACATTTAAGAATTCACTTGTTTTTTGGGTCTCTATTGTATATGCTAGCTGTGACCTTTTAATGAGAAGGCTTTTATGGGAACACCTGATGGATATTGATGTCCCTCCTGATGTCCCTTGGCTGGTTTTGGGTGACTTTAATACAATTTTGTTCTCTACTGAAAGATTGGGAGGAACTTCTCCTTCTCTTTTGTCTATGGAGGAATTTGGTGACTTTTTGGATCAGAGGGGCCTATTGGATGCTGGATTTATTGGGAATAAATTTACCTGGTGTGATAATAGAAATGGGGGTTTCAGAATGAAACAGAGGCTGGATAGAGCTCTGATTAATCCCTGCTGGAATCTGAGATTTGACAGTCTGGAAGTGGCTCACTTATCAAGAGGTAACTCTGATCATAGTCCTTTATTGTTGAAAATTATGGATACTCTTGTCCAGAAGAGAATTTCCTATTTTAAATTTCAAGATATGTGGTGTGATCATGAGAGTTTTCTGGCTCTGATAACTTCTAACTGGAATGGCTATTATTCAGATAATCCAATGTCAAATTTTTTCATCAAGATGAAATATTTGAAGGCTCACATGAAAATTTGGAATAAAGATGTGTTTGGTAATCTTTTTGAGAAACTGAAAATATTTGAACAAAAAATCAGTCTGCTTGAGCAGGAGTTAGATCAAACCTTCTCTGATTCAAAAAACATTGAATTAGAGGATGCTAAAGGTGAGATGGATGATTGGTTAAGGAGAGAGGAAATTTATTTTAAGCAAAAGTCAAATGTAAGATGGGCTATTCAGGGGGAGAGGAACACCAGATTTTATCACTCTATTGCAAAAAGTAGAATTGTCAGAAATGAGGTTTCTAGAATTAAAAATAAAGATGGAGTCTGGGTGTATGGAGATAAACAAGTGGCTATGGTTGCTAAGGAGTTTTATGCTGATCTATATAAATCTGAGAGGCATATCATCCATGATAATATCTTTGATGTTATTCCTAAGATTGTTAGTCAGGAGGATAATGAGAAATTGACTGCTGAAGCCACTTTAGAGGAATTGAAAGAGGTTGTTTTTTCAATGGCAACAGAAAGTGCTCCAGGGCCGGATGGTATGTCTGGAAAGTTTTATCAGTTTGCCTGGGATGTTATTAAAGTAGATGTAGGAAAAGCTATTAATTTTCTGCTTAAAGGAGGTATCATGCCAAAATCTGTGAATTCTACTTTACTAGTATTGATTCCTAAGAAAGAGGATCCATCTTCATTTTCTGACTTTAGGCCCATAAGTTTATGTAATTTCTTATACAAGATCTTTACAAAACTTCTGAACACAAGACTGTCCTTATTACTTCCTGCTTTAATTTCTGAAGAGCAACATGGCTTTGTCAAAGGGAGAGGAATTGGGGATTTTGTGGCTTTGGGACAGATGCTTGTGGGTGAATTAGATAGAAAGGTTGAATTTGGGAATATGATTATGAAATTGGATATGATGAAAGCATATGATAGAATGGAATGAGATTTTTTGGGAAAGGTTCTGGCTGGTTTTGGTTTTTCTGACTTGTTCAATCAAATCATTTTGAACTGTTTGAAGAGCCAGTTCTTTACTATATGTTTAAATGGCCAAAGATATGGTTACTTTGCTAATTCAAGGGGGCTAAGGCAGGGAGACCCTATCTCTCCCTCATTGTTTATCTTGGCTGAGGAAGTGCTAAGTAGAGGACTGAGGAACATTTATGCTCAGAATTTGGTAAAACACTTTCATATTGGAAGAGGAACAATAATTGTTAGCCATTTGTTGTTTGCTGATGATACTCTGATTTTTCTGAGGGGGAACAAAAGTTCTGTGCTGAATGTGATGAATTTTATTTCTATGTATGAAGCAAGCTCTGGTCAGAAGGTTAATAAGCTGAAAAGTGCTATGTACTGCTCTAAGCAGATATCTTTTGCTAGAAGAAATAGGCTGACTTCTGTGGTGGGAATCCCAATTAAGGATTGTCCTTTTACTTATTTGGGATGTCCTATAATAAGAGGAATGATAAAGAAATGTTATTTTGAGGAGGTAATTAAAAGCTTCAGGAAAAGAATTGAGGGGTGGTATGCCGGATTACTTTCAGGTATGGGGAGAATTGTACTGGTACAATCAGTACTTAGTTCTATTCCTATCCACATTTTGGCCTGTCTGAATATCCCAAAAGGAATCTTAAACAAGTTGAACTCTTTAATTGCTAATTTCATTTGGTCTAGTCAGATTGATTCCAAAAGGAGGCATTGGGTCTCTTTGAATGATATCTCTAAGCCCAGAACTGAAGGTGGGCTAGGAATTAGAAGATTTGAGGAAGTTCAAGCAACATTCAGAATAAAATAGGTATGGGGGATTCTAAATGGTTCTTCTTTGTGGGCCAAAGTTTTTAAAGAGAAATACTGCCAAGGGAAGCATATTCTAAGGTGTGGAATTAATGGGGCTGGTCAGTCTTTTAAAATGTTGAGACCATGGTTTAACTTCACAGTTCAGCACTCATTGAAAATTGTTGGGGATGGAAATAACACTGTTTTTTGGTGTGATTCATGGTTGGACAAAGGTCCACTGATTCTGAGAATTGTGAATCCTCCATTATTTTTTCCCAATATTTATGAATTATGGACTGGATCTGAATGGCAGCTTAATGATGTTGCTGAATGGCTTAGTCCTCAACTCTGTTCTGAGATTGAGAGTGTGACTTTTGTAAGATCTCAGCACCCTGATAGACTTATATGGAGGAATACGACTTCAGGCTCTTTTACTGTTAAGTCTGCATGGGAACAGATAAGAATAAAGGGAACTCAGTCTGCTATAGCAAAAGGAATTTGGAATCAAAAAACTTTTCCTAGTACTCAACTATGTGCATGAAAAATTTTTAGAAAAGCTTTAACCACTGATGATAGAGTTCAAAGTGTGGGGGTTGCAATGGCCAGTAAATGTATATTGTGTGGATTAGAGGGTGAAAACTCTACTCATATTTTCATTGACTGTTCTATGACTCAAACTGTATGGAGGAAAACTGCTGTGATGATGGGGTTTGATGTTCTGCTTGGAGAATCTCCTTTATGCAGATTTCTAAGACTGCTGAGAAGGTTTAAAACTCCTTCTCTTAGTCATATTTTAATAAGGGGAGTTACTATGCTAATATTTTGGGCTCTGTGGAAGGAGAGATGCAGGAGGAAGTTTGAGGGATTGTTCTTAAATGGCCATGCAATTTTCTTACAAGTTTTGAGTGCATTGAAATGGCAGGCTTTCATTATAAAGCCTGGATCAACTGATGACATTAAGGGTAAGGAGTTATTAAGAGAGCTAAAAATTCAGAATCCTTTTTCTTTAATCATTAAGGTGAAATGGATCAAGTGGAATTTTCCTCCTCCAAATATACTGAAGCTTAATGTTGATGGTGCCTCTAAAGGAAAAACTGGACTGTCAGGTGGAGGGGTAGTGGTGAGAAATGATGAAGGGGAAATTATATTTGCTGTTGCCTGCTACTATGGGATGGGCTCAAATATGGTTACTGAATACAAGGCTCTGCTTGATGGATTATTACTGATTCTGCAGCATGGGTTGTCAACAAATCAGATTGTGGTGGAATCAGATTCTCAGACATTAGTTAAAATGGTGCTGGGTTTAGCTGCTATTCCATGGAGGTTGCAATATCAGTAAGAGAGGGTTAATATGTTGTTTGGAATGTTGAATTTGCACATTAGGGTTTAGGGTTTAGGGTTTGGGGTCTGGGGTTTAGGGTTTAGGGTTTAGGGTTTAGGGTTTGGGGTTTAGGGTTTAGGGTTTGGGGTTTAGGTTTAGGGTTTGGGGTTTAGGTTTAGGGTTTAGGGTTTAGGGTTTCGGGTTTAGGGTTTAGGGTTTAGGGTTTAGGGTTTAGGGTTTAGGGTTTAGGGTTTAGGGTTTAGGGTTTCAGGTTGAGGGTTTAGGGTTTGGGGTTTGGGGTTTTGGGTTTGGGGTTTAGGGTTTAGGGTTTGGGAGGAGGAGGCAGTTATTTCATTCTAGAGAGAGAA